GGCATGGCGATAATATGGAAGCTGCACAGATCCGACGCTACTCAGATGCAGACCTGGCAAGCGACATCCGCACTCGAAGGAGTGCCATCGCCAGCGGCCCAATCATTCGGGGACCGCGCGCGAGAGCTGATCCGAGCTAGGCCTCTAGACGAACATAGCACCCTGGAAGCCGAGATAGCCGCAGCAGGATTGGCACTGCGTGCGGATATTCTGGCATCGCTCCCCTATGGAAAACGCGATTTCAGAGAACTCCCGACTTTCTGTCCCTGGAAATAACCAGGCGGCGCGCAAAGTCATCGAAGCGGGGGGGTGGCACAAGCCAGTGCGCATGCCCCGTGCGCATAGGATCGCAGCCGCCGCCGTTTCGGAGCAGTTCAGCCGCGGCGCCGTGGAATTTCAACGCGGCAGAACTCGCAGCGAGGCCGCCGACATGGGGCCAAACGGTTCACTGATCTATCTGCGCGGATCAAAGTTCTGCGCCTCGTTTGTATCGCGCCCCCAAGGTTTTGGGATATCAAATGCTGCCAATATTGTATCGCATCGGTGTTCGCAAACGGACTTCCCCTGGATCCACGGGGGGGGGGGGGGGGGCGTCGAGCCGGCTGTCGGTCCTCAGGCGGCCGCGCATGCGAGGGCGCAGTAACCCTGCAAAGAAGCCCGCGAGCTTCTAGCGCATCGGCGAGGGCGTACCAGTCATGGGCAAGTTAGTTATTTCCAGCATGGGGCCGATGGAGCTCTGCATTCCGCGGCCCAGCTACGGACGCAGACAAGACCGACGTTGCGACCGGCGGCTCAGCTGCCAGCGCGCTGCGCCAACAAGATGATTCTAGCAAAAGCTCCACTGCGCAAATCTCCAGGCCGGGCAACCTCAATAGGTTTTAATGCGCCAATAGCAAGGCCATGCGCTATACTGAAAAGTAAGGCGCGACTACAGACACAGGGAGAGGCAAGCCTCTCAGTGACACCAAAACGTTCCAAGGACAGCGCATCTAGCCTTGTGCCTCAATCTCGCGCGATGGGGGGCCACTCTTGGCAATGCGTAGACGAGCCCGTTTATGTTCGAAAGGAGACCGCGGTTCATTGTGGCGTCTGCGGGGGGTTCGAAACATATTCAGACGAGTGTCGTCGAGTTTCAGAGGAACTGGAATCGCGGCACTGGACATGGGCAGGAACAGCACGCATCGAGTGGCCAACCGCTTGCCAGTACTAGAGGGGCCCGCGCGCGGTGAATTTCATTTCGTGCTAACCCATGTCAGACAATCAGGCCGCACGGGTGCGCGCGTGGACAAGAAGCCTTGGACAATAGCATCAACATCGATGGAATGCAGGAATGGGTGACATCGATGCATCGACGGAACGCTTGCACATGTTGAGGCACGAGGGGACTTGCAAAATAGTGGAGGAACCTATTCATGCGCTTACCAAGCATATTCCTGTTGGCTTAGCGCGTACCTCTCACGCGCGCAGTCGCACATCCACCTGCAACCCGGATGCACGCGCCGGCGCTGCCGTTTTGGCCCCAAGGCCCGCGGTCATTGCGACCGCCGGCCCGCAAATTGGCCCGCCCTCGGTCGGCCACGACTCCCCCGCTCGTGTTGTCCTGCTGGTTCACCCGTCATTTGCGTTGTATCAACTTGCGCCCTGTGCGAGAGAAGGGCAGCGATTCGCAAACAAGCCAACGCAGAACAGCACAATACGCTGGAATGCAAAGCAGTGCAGAGTGACGCAGAGCAGCACGACGCAACGCAATGCAAACAAACGCATGCAGCGACAAACAATGCTCGGCAGGGTAAACCCAAGCGAGCGCGGAAGAGCGAAACGGCACGGCAGCTGGGCAAAGAGGGCGGCAGCGGGCGCCCACGGGATAAGGGCGGCCACGCGGGGGTTGGGGGCGCAAACGGAACGGCAACGAGGTGGCATCGGGGCGGTCACGTGGCGCCCACGAACCAAACATTTTGAAAACACGCCCAGCTCTTCACAGACGAAGTCAGCACCCCTTGAGGTAAGCATTGCTGGGGGAATGGAGGGGGGAATGACCAAGGCAGGCCCGTATTCAGCCTGTATCGCAACCCATTGGCAGAGCGGGGCCAACGTTGATCCGGATGGCGCGCCCTGGGTAATCTTTGGCACAGCCGAGACAGGGCGGGTTTATCAGCGATGCGGGCTGGCGGGCCGTGTGTCGGAGGGCATCATTTATGCAAGTGCACCGATCCTGGCCAGGCGGATCTTGGGGCCAGGATCGGTGTGTACGCCTTCCTGCCCAAGCCAGGAGGGCGTTTACACCGATCTTGGACCCACAGATGAGGTTGATTCGGATATGTGTGGGTGTATCGTTGGTTTCCCCCTCTTCACAACATGTGGCGCGATTGGCGGCGCAAATTGCACAGAGCGGGGCAAATCATGATTCGGATGGCATGCCGTGTGATTTGCCTGGCGCATCCGAGGCAGGGCAGGGCAGGCCGTTGTTTCGGTCGGCTTGCCGTGCTCCATGTGTGGCAGAACTTGTAAGCATGGCGCAACGTTGGCAAAGTGGGGGCAGTCCGTCTGCGACGGGGCAGGGGGTCCAACTGGTGATAACGTCGGATGCATGCAGCGCGCAACGTAGAGCGCAATGTGTGGCGGAACCTTGCCAGAAACGGCCACTCGCGATGTCGTCGCGTGCGTGGCACGCGCAATTCATTGGGCACTTTTTGGCGGAACCTGTGGGAGAGGGGACTATTGCGTGACTGCGCAGGTCCATGCATGCTTTCTTTATCGGGTCGGGTAAGCCTTGCTATTATGTCCGATGTTTGCCGCCGCAGTTGTCTGAGCAGGGTGGCGTGCGCAGCATATGTTACAAGCTATGCAGGTGGAACAAAGCCGTGATTCGTTTGGGTTTTGCATCGCAGCCTACGTCTCATTTAGGACAGGACAGGCCAATACGTGAGTCCGCTGGGCGTGCGAATGCTAACCTATGGAGCAATACATCGTGCAATCTGGACTGAGTGGACCAAGACATGACTAGGCCTGGTAGGTTGCATCGCCACATTTGGGGCAATGTATGGCGGTTCCGCGTGCTGTGTCGTGTGCAGCGCCGCGCGGTACCGTGTCCTGTCGTGCCATGCCGTGCCGTGCAGTTTTTTGTTGCACATGTTGTTCAGGGTCTTTCGGCGGGGCGATGTGGAAGAATTCTTTACGCTTCGCGTATCCCCACCAGCCCATCTCACAGCAGCAACTCTTGCGAAGCATGCCGACAGTCGTGTTTTTCAGGCGTGTGTCCGCTTGGCCCCGCATATCTCCCCTGTTCCTCCTTCCTCCCGCCTCCTTGTACATCCTCCTTGTGGGGGGAGCGGGAGAAGGACGAGGCGGAGGAGGAGGGAGAGAAAGCGCTCCTCGTGGTTTGAGTCGTTTGGGGTTTCTCGTCCTGGTGTGAGTCGTTCGGGCCCTTCTTCCTGGTGTGAGTCGTTCGGGCTCTTCGTGGTGTGAGTCGTTCGGGCTCTTCGTCCTGGTGTGAGTCGTTCGGGCTTCTCGTGGTGTGAGTTGTTCGGGCCCCTCGTCCTGGTGTGAGTCGTTCGGGCCCCTCCTCCTGGTGTGACTCGTTCCGGCTCCTCGTGGTGTGAGTCGTTCGGGGCCCGCGTCGTGGTGTGAGTCGTTCGGGCTCCTCGTGTTGTGAGTCGTTCGGGGTCCTGTGAGTCGTTCGGGCCCTCCTCCTGGTGTGAGTCGTTCGGGCTCCTCGTGGTGTGAGTCGTTCGGGGCCCTCGTCCTGGTGTGAGTCGTTCGGGCTCGTGGTGTGAGTCGTTCGGGCTCCTCGTGGTGTGAGTCGTTCGGGCGCCTCGTCCTGGTGTGAGTCGTTCGGGCCCCTCCTTGTGGTGTGAGTCGTTCGGGCTCTTCGTGGTGTGAGTCGTTCGGGCCCCTCGTCCTGGTGTGAGTCGTTCGGGCTCCTCGTGGGGCCTCTTGGGGGCCTCTTGGAGCCTCTTGGGGCCTCTTGGGGGCCTCTTGGGGGCCTCTTGGGGCCTGGGGGCCTCTTGGGGGCCTCTTGGGGGCCTCTTGGGGCCTCTTGGGGGCCTCTTGGGGCCTCTTGGGGGCCTCTTGGAGGCCTCTTGGGGGCCTCTTGGGGGCCTCTTGGGGCCATCTTGGGGCCTCTTGCGACCTCCTCAGAAGCGCAAATGAGCGCTGCCCCCTGAGAAGGACAACATGAGCCCAAAACCTTCGTAAAATCAATGATTTTGCTATGAAGGACTATGAGCGCTGCCCCCTCAGAAGCCCAAAATGGGCCCAAAACCCTAGTAAAATCAATGATGTTTGCTTCAAAGACGGTCTGAGGTGCCAAACGGTCCCCCCCCCCCTGGGGGCCAGAATCCTCGTGAGGGTCGTCGTTTTTTGGCCCTCCCAGACGTCGAAAAAGACCTCCTTGAGTACACTCGGCCCGCCCTCTCCAGGCCCAGGGGGAGGGGGTAGGGGGAGGGGTAAACCCCTCCCCGAAGGGGAAGAAGGGGGGTTGGGGGGTTGAGGACAGAGAAAGCTCGCTAAACCACTCACGCCCAAGGCGATGTGGAAGAATTTGAGCACGTTGCACCTATGAGAGGCTATTTTCACCTTGTTGCGCGTTGATTCGATGAGAAGCGGTATGTCACAGATCCCACCGCTCCAATTTACGTACGGAGGTAATGGGTGTGGGCAGAGTTTGAGAGCACCCATCGGGAAAACGTGCACGTGCGATCGCTCGGTTTGCGAAAGGTGAGTCCCATCATTTCCTTTCATGCTCAGTCGAATTGTGTGCATGTATGCACGTAGCCACGCATGTGCTTGCCCAGCGTGTGTGAGAGAGAGGGGGACATATAACAAGTGTTATAGTTATGTCCACATGCACATATATATATATATATATATATAAAAATACATTCATAAATACATACATATATACATTTATAAATATATACATATGTGTAGCATGTGTACTCAACAACCTGTGTGTACGTCTCGGGCGGTGCACACTGCTAGACCCGCCGTCCTCTCCTAAGGACAAGTTTCACGAGCAGGTGAGCGCGAAGCTGATCTTGGACCGGCTGTTGCAGACGAGCGACCCGCGCCACGTGTGCACATTGGGGAGCCATGCCGCCCTCATGGGACGATTGATCTACAGTCAACCATGATAGTAAGGATGGGCAACCTTCCCAAGGGTACCCTTGCGTCCTCGCCTCCTCGGTCCATCCTTCGCCGCTTTCGCTTGCCGCGCCCCGCTCCAAAAGCTTCGAAATGGGCGCCCAAGGCCCTTGCATCCTTTTCGCGCATCCTTACTATACTGGTTGACTGCATCTCATCTTGTGCTCCAGCTGCGCACTCGCTATGCTACGCTGGCTCCCGGCTTGCCTTTTTGTTCGCTCGGCCTGGCCGGGCGCAGGCGCATTCTGTTTGGCATGAGCGGGTGTCAGAGATTCCATGGAGGGAGGGGGAGGCGCCACGTAAACGGAGACTTGCACGCATAGAAATGTTCGGGATAGTGTTATAGGGACGGAGGGAGGGAGGGAGGGAGAGGAATGTAGGGAGAGCGTAGCGGAAAGGAGAAGTACGAAGGGGTGCAGCAAGGTGGGTGCCGTCGTCCATCGGCGGCAGCATAGCGAGCAGGGGAGGGGAAGGAATGCGAGAAGTAAAGGGAGAATGCACAGCCAGGGGGAAGGGCAAGAGGAAGAATGAAGAGCCATTCGAGTGGTCTGGCGGCGAAGCAGATACTTTGACCAGTGGCTAGAGGCCGCATGTGAATGATGAGGGGGGCGGCTGGGGACACAGGATGCACATGTAATCGACCACATAGCTGCAGTTCCAAGGAGCACGTCGGAGCCCCAAACCCTGGCGGCGCGCCCAAGGAAGGGGTGGGGGGGGGCGCGAGAGGGGCGGCCTCCGGAGAAGTCGGGGCGGGGGTCTCCGAAGGCGGGCGGGGGGGGCGCATCGAAAAGGAGAGGAGGCCAAAGTCTTTCAAGGACAAATGAGTTTTGCTTCTCGGAGCTCTCTTGGGCGGCTTCTTGGTGGCCTCTCGGGGCGTCTTGGCGGCCTCATGGGCCGTCTTGGGGCCATTCGTGACTTCTTGGAACGGTCATTGGCCGTCTCGGGGCCATCCTGGACCGTCTTGGGGGCCTCCAGGGGCCCTCTTGGTCCGTCCGGAGGCCTGCTTTGGCCCGGAAAAGTTGTGCGGCAAGATGCGAGGACCCCCGGGGGGCACACAACAAGCCTTTGTAGAGTTCGCGACTCCGGGTCGATGCCTTTGAAGACTCCTCAGGACTGAAGACTGAGGCTCCAGGGAGCAGGCAAAGGACCTGAGGACACGCTCACTCCGTGCCAAGAGGCACGGTGGGGGGCCATGTTAGTGCGTTGCAGTTCCCTGGTCATCGTGCGATTGCCAGCCGCTCCGCAGTACGGCATGACATGTGAACGCCACGAGCCTTGTCGACGGGGCAAATCGGCAGCGCGTGTGTGTGTCAAGCTCTGTCTGCAGCGGTTCCCTCCTTCTGTGCGTCATGATTTCGCACGCGCGGGAGGAGATGTGTGATCGTGGCCAAAAAAATATTGGATGCTTCTTTTGTGAGGCTTCTTGGTTTCTTGAGGCGGTCTTGGACCGTCGTGGGTCATCGGGGATGATTGCGGCCATCCAGGGGCTGGTTTGGGCAGTCATGGGATGTGCTGTCGATTTCTTCACCGTGCGGCGTCGTTACCGTTGCTGGCGCATCATAATCTAGAGCCCACTTGGGGCATCTTGGAGGCCTGCTGGGGGTTCATGCAGGGCATGTCAGAGCGTGTCGGGTATATGTTCCTACGTTGGTATTGGGGTTGTCTGGTCGCATTGCGAAACCGTCTCGTAGCTATCTTGGCGGCGAGTTTGGCTCGTCTCTCAGCGGGGCGAGCTCTCAGTGGGACGAGCGGCTAGAACGTGGGTCGCCCAAAGAAAATCACATAAACCATACCAGACAACCGACAGGCGATCCAGCACGCCCCCAATTTGCCGAGGGGACGGTGGCGAATTGTTGTTGATGAAGCCACCGCTGTTGTTGATGTTGTTGTTGCCCTGCTCACCCAGGGTCCCAGCGAGGGGGGCACGACGGTGAGACAGGCGTCTCGTGCCCCATCGCCAGCTCCCTTCGATTAGCATGCAACTCCTGGGAGGTTCAATTCAGCATCGGCGTTGGTATATCAGTGGGCGGTAGCCAATCCCCACACAATCCCAATGAATTCCGCTTAATCTTGGCCAATCTAGTTGATCTGGCTGAATCCTGGGTTTAACTTGAGCTAGTCCCGTACATTGGTTATGTAATCAGGCGATTAGCTCATGTTAGCCAGAGTGGGCCCCAAAGAGTGTGCCTCTAGCAATATATGTAGTGCTATCTATGTGGAGCATTATGTGTGGTGTCATCTGCGTGGGGCCAAATATGTGCTGCAGTCTGCGTGGTGCAATTCATGCTGTGCAAGCAGTGTGGTGCAATCAATGCTGTATACGCGAACGTACTCATCGATGTGATGTGAGCTATGCGTTGCAAGCTACGTGATGCAAACTGTGTGGTAAGAGGTAAGAGCTAGCGCAATCATCGAGGAAAGTCGGAAGATTATCCGAAATGGTTGACGCTGTGTAAGCTTACATGTCGCTTCCGCAATGACAGCGCAGGGCAATGTTGAAGACCGCGTAGCAACGCGAAGCAAGGCACAACGATGCAGATCAACGCAACACGAATCAATGCAACGCACAGCAATGCAATGCAACACAAGGCCTGGTGATGCATTGTGTTGCCTTGGAATGCACAGCAAGCTGCGCAACATAATGCAACGCACCGCAACGCGATGGCGACGGCGAAGCAGCGGCGACGGGCGACGTGGTTGCGGCGGGGCTGCGACCGCGGGCGCGGAGCCGCCAGACCGACACACAAGCCCAGGCGACGGGCGGCGACGAGGCGACGACGGGGCGGGACGGCCGCTCGGAGCCGTTCGACCGGCGTACAGGCCCAGTTCTTCAGACCAGAAGCAGGACCCCCTAAGTGCAAACACTGTTTGGGGTATGACCCTTCAGGAGCTGCCTCCTGACCTCGAGCACCCCATTGCCAGGATCACCGCCTCGGACCTCTACCCGCCGAAGGACTATAGCTACGTGGTGGGTATGAACGACTCCCGCGGCCGCGTCGGCGTCTACTCGTGTGCCAGGCGCCTCGCGGCGAGCGGGCGAAATTGCGCGGCGGCGATCGATTCGCGCAGGGCACCCCTGCTTATCCTCGATCGACGATCGATGTTTGAGGAGGAGGATTGAGAATAGAGCATCCTTGACTTCGATCGAGATCGACCAGGTGGATCGAGGATCGAAGATCGATCCTCCCCCTCAACCCTCGAGTGTCGAGGGGCGCGGGGGGGGGAGGCTGGCGCTCGACGGCGAACCCGCCGGGGCCCAGCAACCATGCCGCCAGATCTGAGAGGCCCACGCCTGGAAGCTGCGGCGACGCCGCGCGGCGGACCTCCCACGGCCCCCCGCCGTCCGCTCGCGGCCCTCGCCGCTCGCGGCCCGCGCCGCTCGCGGCCCGCGCCGCTGGGGCGCGGAGCCGAGCTGCGCACCGCGCTGCAGCGGGAGGTGCGGACCTCCCTCGGCCTCGAGCGCGCCGAGGGGGCCGCAGCAGGGCTGGCCGCCGCGCTCGCAAGCTGGGCGGCCGCGGGGGCGGGGGGCGCGGTGGTGCACGGCTACTGGTTCGTTGCGTCCTCGGCGGTGCCTGGGGGAGTCGTGGGCCGAGGCTCTGTCTCTCTGCCAGGCTCCACCGTGACGGGCCCCGGCCCCCGACCGCGGTCCCCAGCCCCACCCCGGGCTCGAGCCGTGCCCACGCGGCAGCGCGCACCCCTGTTCGCAGTCCTTCGGAGCACCCGCCCATGTCTCTGACCACCAGACGGCCAGCAGTTGAGACAACGGGCGTTGGCTCTCCAGGGGCCCCTCTCGCGGCAACGGCTGGACACATCTTGGAATACTTGTACGTTTGGACCCCGTGAGGGGTCCGGGCACCGATTTTGAGCTGCCGTTGTCTCCACTCCCCCTGCTCCGAGGCCAAACCCCAAGTTATGCCCCTTGAGCCTGACCCTTGAAGCGTACCCGCACGTTGGCGCGCATCCATGCTCGCGGTCTGCCTTGAATCGCGCTGGTGCCCACGCCACTGGCTTCAAGTTTCCTCCCCAGGGGACCTTAACCCCAGGACCCAGTCCCCGTCCATGACGTCAGCCCCCTCACCGTGATTAGTGTAGGGTTCAGAATTATAAAGCGGGTGCCCCCCCCTGTCCTCCTTCCCGTGGGGGGGAGTAGCGCCCCCAGCGCAGAGAATGTGTTAGTCTTCGCCCCACCCCCCTCCCCCCTGACCTCTCTCGATGGGCACGTCCCGAGCGGAAAAGCACAGCGGAAAGGCCAACATTTTGAATCCTGCTTTAAAAAAATACGTGGAGGTGAGGGAGGAGGGATAAGGAGGGGGGGAAGGAGGGGAGGCAGGGAGGGGGACCTCCGACGTCGTGTTTCTTCTAGCCCGTCGGCGCCCTGGGCTCCCGACACCTTCCACCGGACGGGTTGTGAGTTTCAGCTGGTTTCGCGATGGCCCCAGGGCCTGGACACGGCCCCCAGAGTCCCAGATGCCGAAGCAGGAGGAACGACGGCGGATGCCGATGGCGATGCCGGATGCCGATGCCGACGCCGGATGCCGGATGCCGATGCCAATGCCGGATGCCTGAGGCCGATGCCGCGAAGGGCACGACGCCAGATGCCGATGCCGACGCCGACGCCGCTGCCTCTGCCGACGCCGATGCCAGCGCCGCCGCCGCCTCCCCAGAGCATCCGTATTTTCTTCGATATGAAATGTTATATGTTATAGCATTCAGTATAACATTCAAATCGTTTGAGGCCATGTCGCACACGTACCTTTATTTCCAGTTAAAATGTGATGTTTGTGTATCTAGTTGTATGGATATATATATATATATATATATATATATATACATTGCAGTGTTCCACACGAGTTTGTATTGCAGCTCACTTGTAAAGCCGTCCACCGTATGTGGCTACCTCTGCTCAAGCCTTTTTCGTACGCGAGCCCTCGCCGGCCCCGCGACGATCAGGACTGGTGCATGGTCGTCGGCCAGGTCGCCCAGGCAGCGATCCTTGGGGCGGCGAACATCGGCGGGGCCTGGCTGGGCCGCTGCCCCGCTTGCCCGCCGCAGCCGGGGTGCCCGGCGCCTGCGCTGAGCTGCCCACCGGTCTCGCTCACTTGCCCGGCGCCGCCGGCGCTGACCTGCCCGCAGGTGACCTGCGCCGCTCCCGCGTGCCCGCCGTGCGAGGCGCCGGCGCGCGAGGAGGTGACGCCTTGCCCCTCGCCGGCCCGCGAGGACGCGGGCGCCGACGGCCGCGTGTACGCCTGCCTGCCGCTGTGGGCCGTGGTGCTGATCGCGGCGGTGGCCTGGGGCTGCGGAGCCGGCTCGGTCGCCTGCCTGGCACAAGGGTGCGCTCGTCGAGGACAGCATGCTGGCCGTGGTGTCATCGTCCGACCTGGTGCCGGGGGACGTGATTCTAGTCCGCTACGCCGCGGACGATCTCTGGCATGAGCGTGTGCTGTGCTGGGCGCTGCCCGCCGACAAGAGCGGTGCCGTGCACTGGGTGGTGGCAACGCCCGATGGGGACATGTATGTGGAGACAATCGAGGGGGGCAGTGCCGACGACAGCCCGGTGGAATGGATCCGCCCGGCGGCCGACGGACGCCTCCCTGCTGGTTTCCAGGACGCCGTGTACTCTTTCCAGCGTGGCGGGATCGACGGGGCCCTCCGTGAGAAGTTCGTGACGAAGGGTGCCACCATGGCGTTGAAGGACGCCAAGGAGCACGGCGAGGCCCCTGTATCCATGACCGTGGCTCGGGCGCCGGGCGGACGGAGGGTCCCGGTCGAGGACGTCGTAGGCGCGGGGTTCGTGCAGCCGGCGCTCCGAGACGGTGCCCCTGACACTGCAGAGTCGGGTGGAGGCGTGGTGGCAGGGACTGCTACGCCTGGGACTGGCGTGTGGCGCGTGGTGGAAGAGGGCAACTCGTTTGGCTACGACGTGGGGCGTGAGGTGAAGCCCGTGACGGTCTACATCGGCTGCAAGGGCGTCTACTCGCCCGACGGCAAGGACGCGGTGTTCGTGGAGTTCAGTGACGAGGACGAGGCTGACTTCGTCAAGAGAGTTGCACCGCGTCCTCGGCCCAAGGAGGCCCCAGCGCAGGACGCGCGCACGCTGGCCATCAAGTTCAACCCGCAAGGCCGAATGCGTGACTGGCGTGATGTGGTCGACAGCTGCCAACAGGAAGACTTCGAGGACTTCCTTGTGAGCGGCCCTCGCAGCATGAGCTGGTGCCTGCACTTCTTACGGCGGCGCCACACCCCTCTGGACCATCACCAGATGTTCCGCAGTACGTGCTCTCTGAAGCCTGAGCAGTGGGGCGTGGCCGAGCATGAGACTTTGTTGCGCGTCATCGAGCTCGCGGGGCAATGCGACTTATTGGACGTGACGAAGCTAGCGTGCATGGAGGCAGCTGCACGCAGGGTGCAGACCATCGAGTGGGCCTACCACGATAAGATCAGGGAGACCGACGCGGGTTCCACCTCGAGGCTGTCCATCGAGGAGGCCACGGCCTTCTCGGGCCTCAGCCGCGCGGGGGACCTCATGATGGTGGTGCCCGCTCTCTTTGAGCACGTGAAGTTGCAAGTAGAGAAGGACGCGGCCATCGCGAAGAACATCAGGAAGGCCAAGGAGGAGAGGGAGCTGAGGAGGAAGGACAACAAGGGCAACAACAAGGACAAGGAGAAGGGGTGAGAGCCCCCGGGGAGGAGGGGAGCCAGCATTGCCCTCCTGCCCCGACGCTGCCTCCTGGCCTGCATCGTGCTGTACCTGCTGAAGGCTTAATTCGTAGTCACCCTCCTGGGCTTGGGCCTCCCGGTTCAGATAAGCCAGTTCGGCCGCTGCGATCGGACGGCCCTCGTCATCGGGGCATTTTTCCCCTTCCTTATCTCGCCCAGGGCACTGCTGACTTGGGCGCTTCGTTCTGCTCAGCGGCTACTGGCAACGACCGACCCCAGGCTCCCTGTCGGAGCGCGAGGCGTCGCATCCCGAGGCGCCAGGCCGTCGCCAGCTTAGCCAGCCAGGCGATCTACACCCTCAACGACTTGGCAGGCGGCGAGCGGGGGTCTTCCGTCTCGCAGCCTGGCGAGGGGCGGGCCCCGCACGTGGTAGTGCAGCGACGTGTGTATGCGGCCGCCGCGGCGATGGGCCCGCCGCCTGCTCTCTCGCCCTCGGGGGCCCTGCAGGAGCTCCGGGGGTGCACGGTGTACGAGGACATCCAGTCCACCGTGGTGCCCTTCGACGACATGAAGGCCTCCCTGCCGATGCGCGGTAATCGCCCCGCCCCCTTGGCAGATCTTTTTGGGGTTGGTGGTCAAGCTGAAGTCGACGGGTTTCTTGACTCTCATCTTCTCGAACCAGAAGCAGCCTCCTCCGACCTCAAGGGGGCCCCTCGGGAGACCTACATGGACGAGGTGCTTCGGAACTCTCCGCATGAATACCGACGGCTGGTCAAGAGGCTCGAGAGGGCTGGGATGATCGACTACACCATCCAGCCGCAGCAGTTTGGTCGCTCTTCTTCGTGAGGAAGAAAAACGGGAGCCAGCGGCTGGTCGTCGACTGCCGCCGCTCCAACTGCTGGTTCTCGGCTGCCGACCCCGTCGAGCTCAGCGCGGGAGCTGGCCTCGGGAACCTAGAGGTGCCGGACGGGGCGCGGCTGTACGTCGGCCACGTGGACATCAAGGATGCCTTCTACCACTTCGAGCTGCCGGAGCGCGTGCGCAACCTGTTCGCGCTGCCGGCGGCGCCGGCCTGGATGGCTGGCCTTGCCGAGGTGGGCGGCGTGAGAGTGAGCCCGGGCACCCTTGTATATCCGCGGCTCCGAGTGCTCCCCATGGGTTGGTCACGCGCACTGTGGGTTTGTCAGACCTTGCATCGCCGCATCATCCAGGACGTTCCGGGCCTCGAACCGACCTCGTTTCTACACGACCGAGGGCCAGCGCCTGCGACCACCTCCGCGTGCCACACCGTCTACGTTGACAATTTTTTGGCGCTGGGCACCTGCCGATCGACAGTCGAGCGGCTGGTGCGTCAGGTCGATGAAGCTCTGCAGTCCTGGGGCCTTCCGACGCGCGAGGTTGCCACGAGCTCTCTGGAGGAGGAGGTCCTTGGGTGGGAAATCAACGGAAGACTGGGCTTCATTCGACCGCGGCCTGAGCGTGCGTGGCGCATGCGTCTTGCGCTGGGCGGCTTGCTAGAATCGAGGAAGGTGTCCGCCCGCGACATCGAGAAAGTTGTGGGGCACTGCACCTTCCTAGCCCTCCTCAGTCGGACGTCGCTCTCCATCTTCCGGTTCGTCTACACCTTCATCGCTCGTCATCGTGACCTCGGTACCGTGCCGCTCTGGGACTCTGTTCGCTGGGAGCCGAGGCCTTCAGGAACGTCATTCCCTTGATTCGTTGTGATTTTGGGGCTCCGTGGAGTTCGAAGGTTATGGCATCGGACGCTTCTTTCTGGGGCTACGGCGTCGTCTCACGGGACCTCCCTCCGGACACAGTTCAACAACTAGGGCGTGTCAGTGAAGGGTGGCGGTTCTCGGGTAAGGCTCAGGTCAGATCTCGCGGCCTGACGGGGAGCTCGACATCGGCGACTGGGTGAAGAAGGCGGAGGAGGACAGTCAGGAGGGAGGGCGCCCTTTCGGATCTGCCGGAGGTCTTGAAGGAGAGGGGGTGGGCGGTGCTGATGAGCAAGAAATGGGAGGCCCCCATCTCCAACATCGTTCAGGGAGAGGCTCGGGGCCTCACTGCTGCAGTAAAACATGTGCCGATCTATGAAGAATTTCGGGCGTCGCCACCTTCTCATGTTGGATTCCCTCACGTGCGTGCTGGCTCTGTGCAAAGGACGGTCATCCGCCGTCGGGTTCTGCGCCGCTCTCCGATCCGTGGCCGCCCATGGCCTTGCCACGGGCGCGGTCTTCTCGGGCCGCTGGTTCCCCAGCGAGTGGAACCATGCTGACGGGCCATCGCGGGGCCTCGGCCACTCTGGGTACGGAGGCGCCGCTGCTGACAAGGTCGACGCCCGGAGCGACCACTGCGCCGCGGGTGACAGCTGCGGCGCCGCGCGGGGGCCCGTGGTCGCCCGCGCTCACCTACCCAGTGCAGGCCTGCCCAGTGCTGGGTCGGCGACGGCCGAGGGCGTCCTCGCCGCCGAGCGCGGCAACGGCAGGCTCTTGGCCGGGCCCGCCGCCTTGGCGCCCGTCGGGCCCTGCGAGGACATGCCCGCGGCTGCTGCGCAGCACGGCCACCCAGCGGAAGGCGGCGCGGCGAGCGCTGCGGCTGCCGGTGGCAGGCCGACAGCGTTATCTGCAGGCTCGGTCCGTCCGGACCGATGCAGTGCGCCGACGCTACTCGGAGTTCCTAGACGAGCTGGACCAGTGGCTCGGGCTCAGCGGCCCAAGTCGCAGGCCGTGCCCGAGCGGCCCCCTGGGTGCTGGGACCGTGGGCCAGTTCGACCAGGACGTAAGCGACTGGATGAACGAGCAGTACATGGAGGGCTACGACCACTGGCGCGGGTCGAACCTGATGGCGGCGATCGCCTGGGCGGACCCTCGCCTGGGCCGCGTGGGGGGGCACGGGCTTCCCCTCTCGCGGCAGGCGCTGAAGGGCTGGCGAAACCTGACGCCGGCCGCCAGCCGCCTGCCGCTGCCGGCCGAGGTGGTGTTTGCCATCGCGATGGAGCTGCTGGTGATGGACTGCTGGGACATGGCCTTGTGCACCATGCTGTCCCTCGTGTTCCTGATGAGGCCCGGCGACTGGAGGACGGTGCGCGTCGAGCACCTGGCGCCGCCTGCTGCGGGTGGCAGTCGCGGGCTCGCCCGCTGGAGCCTGGTGCTGCACCCTGTGGAGGACGAGGGCAGCCTGCCAAGCAAGACGGGGGAGTTCGACGAGTCGCTGCTGCTGGACCTGGACGAGGACCAGTGGCTAGCGCCGCTTTGCCAGCGTCTCGTGCTCGGCCGCGACCCGCAGGAGCCCCTGTTCGCTTTCAGCCAGGCCGAGTTCACGCGGTGCTTCAAGATGGCCGGCGCAAAGTTGCTGCTGCAGCGCCCTCCGCCGCCGTGCATCCTGCGGCACTCGGGCGCCAGCCGCGACTTCGCCGAGCAGCGCAGGACGCTGGTCGGGGTGAAGCGCCGGGGGAGGTGGCGCACAGACGCGAGCGTCAGGCGCTACGAGAAAGGGGGCAGGCTGGGCAGCGAGTTCGCCAAGCTGCCGCTCTGCCTCCAGGGCCATGCACGCTGGTGCCTCAGGTACCTCCCCGCGGCGCTCTCCGGATCGCTGCGGCCGCGCAGGTTCCGCGCCCTCTGAGGATGCGGATCTTCCTGGAGGCGTTCGCAGGCACTGCTCGGCTTGGCCGAGCGATGGCGGCGCAGGGTTTTCACGTGCTTGCCTGGGATGTGAAGTATGGCGACCAGTACGATCTCACCTCCCCTTCGAAGCGCTCACTGATTCGCGGGTGGATTCTTGGTCGTGCGATATTACCTGTCTGCAGCTGACCAGGCCAAAGCCGATCTGGGAAACACCCTCATGTCCTTCACCGTGTCGTGTTTGCATGTCTGTCGGAGGATGAGGATTTCGGGCACAATGGAGAACCCCGCCACCAGTAGGATTTGGCTTGCGCCTGCCGTCGTCTCCCTCGCTCGTAACTCCTCCTCTCAGGTTGTTTCAACCGACTTTTGCCAATTCGGGACGCCCTGGCGTAAAAGGGCCAAGTTTTTGGGCGTCCTGATTGATTTGGCCTTGATTGAAAGACTGTGTAAAAGAAGGAATAATTTGTGCTCGGCCTCTCATAGGCCTCACCAGAACTTCCAGGGTAAAAACTCGGAGGGTCGGTTTTGGACAGAGGTGGCTGAACCATACCCTCCTCGGCTCTGTCGGGCGTTAGCGCTGGCCTTCTCTGATGCTCGCGTCGCGCTCAAGGCGCAAGGTATGGCCAGTCACCTCTGGTAGGTTAGTAGGTTTGAATCGTTTTCATGCGGCCCTCCGGGCCAGTGGACAAGTGAAGTTGGTTCTCTTTTCTGTCAGTGCGGATCTGGTGGCCGGCGCCCGCTCTCATATATATTTGAATGTCGGCGCTTGCTGTCTCTCAGGTCCTGGCGGAAGTTGAGCCTCTCAGATAAAAAATGATCCCTGGTCTCGGGGGGGTGGAATACATTGCAGTGTTCCACACGAGTTTGTATTGCAGCTCACTTGTAAAGCCGTCCACCGTATGTGGCTACCTCTGCTCAAGCCTCCCACCCGCGTACCACCCTGCTCTCACAGTGATGCTCCCTAATGATCTGGTGGCCCGCGCCCGCTGTCATACATATTTGAATGTCGGCGCTTGCTGTCTCTCAGGCCCTGGCGGAAGTTGAGCCTCTCAGATAAAAAATTGTCCCTGGTCTCGGGGGGGTGGAATATATATATATATATATATATATATATATATATATATACATGTGTGTGTATGTATAGGTCAAGTACGCGTAACGCCTTAACACTACATTGCAGTAACATATCGTTAGTGGTAATAATACCAAGACGCCTCAACGTTGTTTCCAAGAGGCCCCCGAAAAACTTGCCACGCGATCCCACCGGACTCTAGAGGCCTCTGACCCACGAACCAGTCACGATGGCGAGATTTGCTGAAGGCAATGGGATAATCCAAGACGCCTCACATTTATTTCCAAGACGCCCCCGAAAAACCTGCCACGCGATCCCAACGGACTCTAGAGGCCTCTGACCCAAGAACCAGGCATGGTGGCTGGATTTGCCGAAGGCAATGGGATCCGCCGCCCCCTGTCGATTCATCGCAGGGGTGCCTGGCGTGCTGAACCTCCCTGGTTGTGGTTTTTTCCAAAAGAATTCCCCCTGGGGCTCCAGCACGTCCCGCCGGCCACGCGGAAACTGCATCAGTCAATGCCTGAAACGGCCGTTTCGCTGGGGATACCTTCAAACAGTCGCGAAGATGGCCCAAGACCAAGTCCGTCCAAGATGGTCCAAGACGGCCTCCAAGACGGCCCAAGAGAGTCCATGACGGCCCAAGAAGGCCCAAGAAGGCCCAAGAGGCCCCCCAGAGGCCTCCCAGACGGCCCAAGGGGTCTCCAAGAGGTCCTCCAGGAGGGCTCGGAGAGGCCAACATCACTGATTTTCATTAAGTTTTTGAAGGATTTTGGAATTTGCTTCTTCTCGGCATTCCGACGGCTCAAGACGGCCTCAGAGGCCCCAAAGAGGCCCCCAAGAGGGCCCTATGACGGCCCAAAGGGCCTCCAAGATGGCCCCAAAAGGGCCCCAAGAGGGCCCAAAAGGCCTCCAACACGCCCAAGATGGCCTCCAAGACGGCCCCGAAACGCCCCAAGAGGGTTCCCCGTTGGCCCAGGAAGGCCCCCAAGACGGCTCCCGACGGCGTCAGACGTGCCAGGAACCCACCAAGATGGCAGAAGTTGGCCCGAAGCTGGCCCAAGACGGCCCAAGAGGCCTCCAAGAGGGCCTCCAGGAAGGCCAGAAGAGGCCAAAAAACAATGATTATCCTAAGGTTTTCGACGGATTTTGACATTTCCTTCTTTTCGGCCTTCCGACGGCCCGAGACGGCCCAACAGCCCCCACAGATCGCCGAAGGGTCGCCCAAGAGGCTTCCAAAACGGCCAAGATGACCTTCAAGATGCCCACGTGATTCCCGAAGGGTTTCCAAACCGATTCGGGGAACACATGGTCCGATGGCTTGGCAGGTCTGGCCCCAACGTTCGGCCACATCGGCGCTTCCAAAAAGGCAGGGGGCGGCGGTGATTCGCCGTAGGCGTCTTCGATATTAGCCAGGCGCCGACTCCAGCGTCGACCAAGCCGACCCTAGCCCCCACCAGCGGCAGCGGTGAAGGAAGAACGTGGGGAGGGGCGGTGAGAGGGAGAGGAGGGGGGGGGCAGGCACGGGGGTCGGCAATCGCAGCGGGAGGAACGCTAGCCGAGCTCTCGGCGAGACGCTGCTGCGGAGCGCCCTCTCGAATCTCTCGGCAAAGCGTGTTTGCGCGGGAAGCCAGGCCCCCAAAACATCCCTACGGCCTGGCCCCGACAAATTCCCTAAAGCCAGGCCCTTAAAACATGGCCCGTCCTCCTCCTCCTCCTCCTCCTTCTCCTCCTCCTCCGCGCCCTCCCCCCCTCCTATCCTTCCCTTCCCCCTTCCCTCGACCCTGGAGGGGTGGAGGGGTGCAGAGGGCGAGGGGAGCTATTTTGCACAGCTGCGCTAACAGTTCAAGCCAGCATAGTGGCCCTGTACTTGCGGACTGCTTCTGCCGCAATCGTGCGGCAGTGGAGCGAGCTCGCAATTTCTACCGCATCCCCGATGTCGAAGTCATCTCCATAATTCCAGCCTTCCGTTGGATTCCCTCTTTCATCTGTCCGGGTCGCCATCACATGTAAAAACAAAGGATGCTTGGGGATGAGATTCCAAGGCTTTGTATCGGAGTTTGGTATCGCTGCCTCTCTCCAGAGCTCCGCATTGAGGAGAACGTGTTTAGTTGTTCGATTCCGAGTGTGAAAACACGACCTGTCGTGATTCTACTTTGGAAGCGCGTCGTATATATGTGCCAACGTATCTGCGCAACTGTGCCAAGCTGATCGTGGTCGGAAGTGCAATCATAAAACATGTTGCAACATATGCCGCGTGACCTGCAGAAGATGTCTGCCTTCTGTAGCTCTAGTCCGCATCTTGTGGCCCCTTTTTTCCCGCTTGAACATAGTCAAGGTCATCGCGTGCACGGAACCTCAATCCAAAGGCTTTTCGGGCTCACGCGTATTTGATACCTAATAATGTCCATAGTTTGTTTGCAAGACCTCGTACCAGGAGACACCGTGCTGCCTAAACCACGATATATCGCAAACAATTGCCCAACAACTTTTGCAGTATTCCCAGGCGCGCACCATGCATTAGGTCAATGAGTATGTATTTTAGTTTCGCCCCAGGGAAGCGGACTATCTCACTCTTAAACCCTCGCTGCCACAAACAATTCGTAGCGTAATCGGCGTCACTGTACTCCAGGCCCCTCCATGGAGCGTTAACGTCAGCCCTGCGGAAATCAACATCTGGCTTGTTATTTGTTGTGCACCGCCAGCACACGTGCCCGTGCGAACCGTTTCCTCCCCACCTTGAGAGGCCGAACGCTTGTTTGTATCAAGCCCAATCTCCCGTTATCTGGATGCAGACAGCTTTGGAATTGAGGCATCCTCCAGCCCGCGACTGTCGACCCCTATCGCCAGGCAGCGTGCTCTTGCCGAATGCCACACCGTCGTGGCGTTCCAGGGGAAAGAGCCTTCCGTAGCCATTTTGGCTCAAGTTCGAAACCTTGCCGCGAGTCTTCGAGCTTGTCCGCAGCCGTGCGGCAGGCTCGGACGGTTCTGGCGCGTGTGCTGCCCACCGGGCCGCACGGGCGCGCCATGGGATATCTCGTCTGTCTCGTCTGTCGCGATGCTGGCAAGACTTCGTGGATCCCCGACACCAACCCCCGCCAGAAATGTAAGTTCTGCAGTACTCCTTTTCCTGGCCGCTCCAAAGGACAGGCCCCAGGAAAGCATGGTCGCAAAGGCGACAAGGACGGCAAAGGCAGGAGCAAAGGCAGTGGCAGTGAGCGTGTCTTGTCTCCTCCCCGTGCTCGTTTCCACGATCGTCATGTTGATGACGGTAATGCCACTCCCCCAGTTCGGTCTTTGGATGAGCGTCTTCAGGCTCCATTGGATGAGGAAGTGCAGGATAGATTCGGGTATGACTCTGGCGACGATGGTCTTGGCAGCGATCGTGGTTTTTGGGCTGATTACGTCGGCGACGACGTTGATGGCGGCTGTGTCGACACCAATGGCAATGAGCTCTCGGTTACGCAGATTGATCAGATTATCAAGGCCCTTTTGGGCCAGCTGGATTCCCTTCGCCTGCTTCCGCCCACCAGGTATGTTCGTGATCAGGTCTCGGGTCTCCAGGATGAGGCGCAGCATCTCCGCGCACAGAAGTCCGACTTGCTTGCCGTTCCCCAGAAGCGTGCGTTCTATAAGCAGCGCCATCACTGGGCCAGTAAGAAGTTTGACAAGATCTCTAGCCAGATCCGCGAGTTCGATCGTAAGATCCTGGACCTTCAGAGCGAAAGGGACGCCCTCTGCTCTCGTCAGGAGCGGGTCGCCCAGGATATGGCTATGTGGCAGTCTAAGTTGCAGGATCTCCCGTCGAGCGAGCCAGTCCCTGAGGGCTTCACGCCTCCAGATCTATCAGCCGTGGCGGACGTTTTCGCAGCTTCCCAGGCAGTGCAGAGAGAAGAAGCTTGCCCAGGCGTTGCGGGACCTCCAGGGTA